GGGGCCAGGGGGAGGCGGCTGGTAGCTCACATTCTCAGTCTCCTTGGCCTCTCCTGTCTTGCTTTCTTAGTTCCTGAATTATCTTGACGCCCAGCTTGTGTCATTCTGAGACAGGAATCTGAACCCCTTTTTAAATTTCTACCCTCCTAGCTACATAAATCTGTTTAATATACTTTATTAAAGGTTGGTTGAGGTGGGGAGAGAGGAAGTGGTTATATTACAATTTCAAATTACACACTAATAATAGCAGTAATGAAGGTAGTATTTCCTAAATACCAGGTGCTGCTCTTAGTGATTTCTGTGTATTAACATGGTTAACCCTCACGACAGCCTGGGCGGTAACCAAAGAAGATCTGTGATAAACCCAAACTCACACCGAAAGTCAGAGATAAAGCTTGGACTGGACCCCGTGCTCTTAGCCACTCTGAACACATCCTTTCTAAAATAACCTCCTACCTCCTCGCCCTGGCAAGTTTCACTGGTTGATCCCCCTGCATCACGCCCTGGTCTTCCTCCGTCTCTCTGGTTCCCCCACTTTATCCCTCTTCTCTGCCCTCTCATTTCTATATCCCTCTTCTCTGCCCTCTCATTTCTAGTCTCCCCCGCCTCCCCCTTGGGGGAAAGTCCTTCTGCGTCACACAGATCTATTTATCTATCACCCTTGGCTCCTAAAAAAATCCTTCAAGTTTCCCCTTGTGCTCTAAAGGGTCTGGAGGTAGTTTCCTAATCAAAACCCACATCTTTTGTGAGAGAAATTGTGATGCAACCTGCTGAGATTATTTATATATATATAAAAACATACCATTTATCTTTATTAAAATCATACTGTTCAGCTTGGTAGAACCTTGGTTTTTTTTCAATTATTTCCCTTGAAATCTGATTTTTTTTTATTTCATGGGGAGCAGCAGTTCTTTTTGTTTTGTTTGTGTAGGGGGAGGTAATTAGGTTTATTGGTGTATAAATATATATATATATATTTTTTTTTTAATGGAGGTACTGGGGATTGAACCCAGGACCTCGTGCATGCTAAGCATGTGCTCTACCACTGAGCTGTATCTTCCCCCATCAAACCTTGGTTTTTGAAAGGTGTAGTCTATGTAAATAATCTGTTATTTTGAGTTTACAGGGTTATCTTATAAATTTAGTGATCTAGAATTAGAGAATCTGGTTTTAAATCCTAGCTCTGCCACTAACTACTTATGTAATATTGGGCAAGTCCTTTACATTCACCAAACCTTATTTTGTTGCTCTATAAAATGGAAATATGAACTCTCTGTTCATCACACAGTTGTGCTGAAAGAATCAATGGATAATATATGTCAAGGGACAACATAAATTATAAAACTTTGTTTTAATAGAACCACAAAGTTCCTGTAACTTCCTCATTAATCTATAGGAATCCCCTTCTACTTCTAACTCATCATATTGGAAATATTAGGGTGCAAACGTCAGTCTAACATGTGGGACCATCGAGGTCTCTGAATGCTGCGTTTCGCCTCTGAGTTAACAGAACCAGCTCGACTGTTTCACGGCGGTTGCTATGGTTACTGTGGCTCTTTTGGCCTGCTTTCCTGAGTTGCTGCTAGCCCTCTGTTTAGAGTTTCCCCCTCGTAGGCATGAAGCTGACTTTAATACTTCATAAAGCACTCTGTGACTATGCATCGCCCAAATCAGAAATTACAGGACAGGCGTCCATTTCAAGACCTGACGTCAGTTAGAGTCTCACCTGCAAGTCCCAGGACCTGTGAGTCATGGCTTCAGGCATCCTTTCAGGGAAGCGGATCTGCAGGAGCCAGACTGCCCAGAACTGGCTGTTTAGATTTATTGAATTATGGTCAGTTCTACTTGATCAGGAAATCATTATTTTTTCAGATGTTTTCTTCACGTTATATAACCTTCATCAAGGTTATATAACTCTTTTTTTTCCCAGTACAGTTACTGGAATTACCTGTATTCATTTTTAAACTTTATTTCTCTTGTTTATGTTCTGTCTATCCCAGGGTTTTAGTCTTAATAACTTAGTTCCCTCTCGCAGTGCAAATCCTGTCTTCTCCAGAATGTATCACCTTTCCTGTCTCCTACCTCTTCTTAATGCTTCCGTAAGTCACGAAGCAGACAGTGATTAAGGCAGATAGCCTCAAGGTTCAGTGGTTCCACCTCTCATTGAGATACGCTTTATCCTACTTTGGGTTTGAATCCTTCCTCCATCATTATTTACCCTAAAGCAGAATTCATTTTATGCCCTTTATGGTGGGCTTGTCCTGGACCCTATGCAAAGCAATGTAGCTAATGAAGTACCAGAAGAACTTAGTGCCCATTTGTCAGTGGGTTCCTGCAAGTGTGGTTGCCATGGTAACGCGTTCTAAATTAAATATACTATAATTCAGATAAAGAGAAAAATAACTCTTTGTAGACTCACGCTTGTGCAGGATGAATATCAGATTAGTGGCTGTCTTCCTCTCTAGATCAATCACAAGGTCATGAGGGCAGGGACTACAGCTGTTTTCTCTGTTTGTTTTATCCCTGGTACCAACATGGGGCTTGGCACACAGTAGGCCCACAATAAATATGTGTGGAATCAAAACATGACTTTATGATAATGTAAAAATCGAAGAGCTCCTTGCATATGTCTTATGGTGCTCTTGTAAATTTTTAAAACAAATAATCAATAAAGATAAATTAAATAACATGAAATTCTGTTGGGTTTTAGTGGGAAGTGCTATGTAAAGACAAGTTCTTGTTAGTACACAGTAAGTGGTACAGGAGACTGGCAGAGCTGTCAGTGCATGACATAATGATGGGCAGCGCATTAAATATGGGCTTTTGTTCATAATGCTTATGTTTATTTAAAACATTAAAAACACTGTTTTTCTCCCCTTGGGTGTTGACATCTTAAAATATGTTTTCTTGCAGTATTCCTTCTACCAGCAGTTGCATGAACAAAAAAAGTCAGAAAAATTCTTCAAAGTTCTGTATGACCGAATGAAGGCTGCTCAGAAAGAGATCCGGTCAACAGTGACAGTTAACACCATAGACTTAGGTAACAAAAAGAGGGATGATGACAACGAGCTGATGACGTCTGGGCCACGAATGAGAGGTAAAGAAATGGCTGGGTATTTGGGAGAACAGAATGAGGGGAAAGAGGATGACACTCTCCTTGGATCTCGCTTCTCTTTACCTAATTATCCCAACTGTGCCTCTGCGTACGGAATTCC